TGTGTTATTTTTTTGTCTTGTTTCAGACCTCATTGAGTTTTTTCAGAAATACCTTCCTGATTCTCTGTCATTTAAGCTGCCTGTTTCTATGTCTGAAAGCTTATTTTCTGGAGATTTTTCTCTTTCTTTCTGAGCTGACTTGTCGCTTTGGTTATTCATGGTGTTTAATGGACTATTTCTTCGCCTGGGCATTAATAGAAGTGTATTCTGCTGTTTTTCTAGAAAGAAGATTTATCATATAAAGATCTCTCTTTAGCCTGTTGCAAAGAAGGCACTTTTCTTTTGGTTTCCAGTAGGTGGCGTCTAAGCCTCTTGGATCCCTGCTTTATATAAAGTCTTAATAACGCTTTTTAAATTTTTTTGTAGATATTTATCACACTCTCTACCATCAGTTTTAGTCTCTGTCTGTGTCAGCAACAGTCTTGGCAGTGTCTGCTCAGAATCTCTCGGGGCTCCGCGGTAATTGGTCTCGGTGAGTATGGGGGAGAGGGCCTTCTGAGTTGGGGGTTGGGAGCTGCTGCTCACCCTTGGTTTTGCAACCGCAGCTGGCAAATATCAACTGTTGTTCTTCTGTGGTCCTGTCCTGCTTCTCTGCTTTTTGCCCTGATGACTGGGCCCTGCAGCCAACCGGCCACAGGGAGCTCACAGCTATCCCAGGCAGGAATGTTCAGAGAACTCCCTGCAGGAACTTGCTGTTCCTTCTCCCCTCCCCCTTCTCCTGCAGGGCGCTGGCACCTGTGAGAGACAGCTTCTTTATTACTCCCAGTCCACCGCCCAACACCCAGGGTTCCGATCTGTGGTAGCTCTTACGCGCAGATCCCACGCTCAGATGTGCTGGTGTGCAGTTTGGGTATCTTTTGTTGAATTTTAGATGGTCAGCTTATTATTGTTTCAAGGGGAGAGATCTGGGGACGTCTCTCACTCTGCCACGTTGAATCTAATCTTTTCAGGCTTCTAATTTTGCAGCCTGTGAGAATCCTCTTCTTAAGGTCTGCAAGTGGCTTCGAAGGCTGAGTAGTATGAGTCGTCCTCCACCCCCAAGACCAGACATGTCAGTGCTGACTCCATGCTGTTAGACCTCTGCCTATATGACATCTTTTCCCTTCTAAAATCCCAGGGAAAGCAATGAGGAATCAACGGTGGCAGAAAAGTCTAGAAAGAGGAATCAAAATGTACCAAGAAAATGCAAAGTTTATCCTCTAAAATAGAAAGAAATTAAAGGGGAAGTATCATGGTGGCATAAAAGTAAAATATTTACAAATCAGAGGCGAATTTAGGAATGTAAAAGACTATTTAGAAAGAGATAAGAAAAAACCTGTAGGAAATCTCTACCCTTCTACTCCTTTCTCCAATCACCTCACCACTTCCTTCATCAGACAAAAACCAAAAACTCATAGATACAGACAACAATTTAGGGGTTACCAGAAAAAAAGAGTGGTGCAGGGGCGGTAGATAGGGTAAAGGGAGTCAAATATATGGTAACAGAGAGATTTGACTATGAATGATGAACATGCAATACAATATACAGATGTTATATTATTGAATTGCACACTTGATATCTATACAATTTTATTAACCAATGTCACAAAAATATTTAATAAAATAAAATAAAATAAATGATATAATAAAAATATAAACCAAAAACTATATATAAATTTACAATATTATATTATAATCTTAATTGGCAAAATGGACTTTTCAGATAAAATTAAGGTTGTTAATCAACTAATCTTAGAATAGGGAGATCATTCATAATTATTCTGGTGGGCTCAATGTGAGCCCTTAAAAATGAAAGAGGGATTTTGTAGATATCAACAAAGTAATTCTAAAGTTTATATAAGAAAGCAAAAATCCTACAATTGCCAACACTGTGCTGAAAAAGAACAAAGTGGCAATACTCACACTAATCATTTTAAGACATACTATAAACCTACTTTAATCAAGACAGCATGAAAAATACATATGTAAATCAAAGGAACACAATAAAGGCCTGAACATAGACCTACACAAAGTATAGTCAATGATCTTTGACAAAGGAGCAAAGGCAATTCAGTGAAGAAAGGATAGTCTTTACAACAGATGAATCATAGATCTAAATGAAAAATTATAAAACTTCTAA